GCCTCGATCCACGGACACAGACCACGGACCGTGGTCTGATCTACGGACCGTGGTCTGATCTACGGACCGTGGTCTGATCTACGGACCGTGGTCTGATCTACGGACCGTGGTCTGATCTACGGACCGTGGTCTGATCTACGGACCGTGGTCTGATCTACGGACCGTGGTCTGATCTACGGACCGTGGTCTGATCTACGGACCGTGGTCTGATCTACGGACCGTGGTCTGATCTACGGACCGTGGTCTGATCTACGGACCGTGGTCTGATCTACGGACCGTGGTCTGATCTACGGACCGTGGTCTGATCTACGGACCGTGGTCTGATCTACGGACCGTGGTCTGATCTACGGACCGTGGTCTGATCTACGGACCGTGGTCTGATCTACGGACCGTGGTCTGATCTACGGACCGTGGTCTGATCTACGGACCGTGGTCTGATCTACGGACCGTGGTCTGATCTACGGACCGTGGTCTGATCTACGGACCGTGGTCTGATCTACGGACCGTGGTCTGATCTACGGACCGTGGTCTGATCTACGGACCGTGGTCTGATCTACGGACCGTGGTCTGATCTACGGACCGTGGTCTGATCTACGGACCGTGGTCTGATCTACGGACCGTGGTCTGATCTACGGACCGTGGGTCTGTCTGTGAGTCGGGACTTAGCTAATTTTTCTGAGCTGGTTTGGGGAGGGGTTGCAGTGGTGAACCACGGACCACCAGCACGGGCCATGGTCTGACCTACGGTCCGTGGATAGTGACCGTAAGTTGCACCTGCAACTTCTCAAAATCTGTATTTTTGGTCTGTTTCGGATACGGGGTGTTACAGCCGGAGCATACTTGGATAATTGAGTAAACTTCAAAGAGTACTCTTTCATGCTCATATTACCTTGCCTTAGGTTTATAAATTCTTGCACTTTAGCCTCCCTTATCTGAAGGGGAAAGAACCGATTAAGAAATGCCTCTTTGAACTTGTCTCAATTCAATGGACCCGCATCAATAGCGTTTTTATCCTTCCACTAAGTAAACCACACTTGAGAAACCCCTTTCAATTGATAACCAACCAAGTCACCTTTTCCACCGAAGTCACTTCTATAATGTCCACAATCTTTTGAATCCCCTTAACAAACTCTTATGGATCCTCACCCACTTTCAAACCATAGAATATATTTCAAAGGATTCATCCTTATGAAGTCTTGAAGCCTTGTTGTCGGCGTACCCATATTTACGTTCATGGGAGCTACCACCTTTCTATTAGCTTGTGCGGTCATGACTTAGGCCAACACTTGGAAAGTAGTTCTATGCTCGTAATTTTGAACCCTACCTATCTGAACGTTGGAATTAACTCGTAATTTTGAAATAAAACTAAGACTTCCTAACATATTAGGAATGGTTTTTTATGAGATATTTTAATTGCACATAGTTCATATGTGAAGTGTTAAAGTTAAGAAAGTTGTGAAATAAATGTCGGCAAAAGATATTGTAAATGTTGTTAAGGAATTCTCTAAACTTTTGGTCAAATATCTAAGAAACTTTTTCCTAATATATAAGGATTGGAATTCCCATGACTTGTCAAATCTAAGGTCCATGGGTCTAGTTTTCAACGAACTAAACAATTTGTTCACATGACTTCATATTAGAGAGATATGCAGGTTTTTATGAGACTGCACAAGCATGCACCTTGAAGTAAGTCCCCCCTAGCTCTAAGTCAGTGG